GGAGCGGCCACTGCACCCCGGTCTGGGCAGCAGAGTGAGACTCCAACTCAAAAGAAAAAAAAATCCATCATTTTCTCACCCCGATGCCGAAGAAACGTCCCTTCCTTACACAGAGGCGAGTGCCTCTGAGCCGCATGGAGCTCTGCTGTGAGAGGCTGAGTCCAGGCTGGGGCCCAAGTCGGGATCCTCTGGCTCGGCTGCCAGCAACACTCCTGCAGGTGAGACTGTTCGCTTGGGAGGGATCTACCCATGACCGCCTGCCAGACGTCACAAGCTGCCGGGGAGAAAGTTCTGGCAGAGAAGTCGTGCTGACTTGAGTTCGCTTGAGTCTGTTTCCCGCACTGGCCAGATCTCCTTTTGCAGGCTCATGCCAAGTCCCCTGCTCAGAGCCAGGGAAACGCCGGTGGCGTCCCAGGGCTTTCTCGAGCTAAGGTTCTGGAATGTTCCAGCTTCGTGGTGGCCAACGGCTGAAATGTAGAGGCCAGAAGATTCGCACCCAAGAGCAGGAGTTCTCTTGCCATCGAGGTACTTCGCGCCCTCATTCGTTCACCTGGCATTTGTTGGGTGCCAAGTCCTATCCGTTAAGGAGCTGACAGCAAGAGCAGGGTCAGGGGGCAGGACTGTCTGTCAGCGTGAAGCAGGCTGGACCGTGGCTTCGTGGTCTCCCCACGTCCGTGTCCCGCCCGCCAGTTCCTGGCAAGGCGCCGTGCAAGCAACCTAAACCTGCCTGGCTTGGGGCAAAAGGCGTTCGGGCGCCACGGCCGGCCCAGGCTCTCGAGGCCCAGCCCTGCCTCCCGGCAGCTCCCACCCTCCCGTTCCCCAGGAAGAATCACCAGCCTCTTTCTGAATGCATCCGCTCCTCTGCACGCAGATACCACAGTCCGTTCTTAGTCCGCACCTTATTCGACATCTCAGTGACATCTGTCAGTCAACTCCCACCTTCTCGAAATGTTTTTTCTTGGCTTCTAAGACATCGCGCTTCGGGTTTTCCTTCTGCTGCAGTAACCATTACTTCATCTCCTCTGCCTGTCGTTCTCCTGCCTCGTCCTCCTCGCTAGCCAATCCCCAGGCCTCTTCTCTTCGCTATGAGATCATGCCTTAGATGACCTTCTGCTGTCCACAGCTTAAGGACTACCTGCATTTCTCAATGTAAAAGCCCTAACCTTTTCCTTAAACTCCCAACGTATATAACCAGCCATTTGGGCACTGAGTTCTCTCTTGACGCATAACGAATCACCCCCAAATTTAGCCGTTTAAAACAAACACCTTCCACGGTTTCTGAGGGCCAGCAGGGGCTGGGGGGGGCTTCGCGGGGGCGTCCTGCTCGAGGTCCCCCCTGAGGCTGCAGTTGCCTGCAGGCTGGGAAGAGCCGCCCCCAAGCTCCCTCACAGGGCGGCTGGCAGGGCCCTCGGCTCCCTGCCGCGGGAACCCAAATAGAAGTTGCTGTGTCGTTTACAGTCTAGCCTCAGAAGTGACATCCCGACACGTCTCCACTCTGTGGGCCACCGAGACTGGCTCTGGTACAATGGGTGCCCCTGGGGGACTCCAAGGGAGTGTGAACTCCAGGAGGCAGGGGGATCACGGGGCCCATCTTAGAAGCTGGCTCCCCCGGCATCTGACACCTCAAGACTAGCATGTCCTGACCAAGTCTCTACCCACGTACCCCAAGCACTCCATCTTCCCCACGGCAGCAAATGACGGCACCACTCACGCAGGCCCCAAACCTTCAAGTCATCTGTACTCTTTCTCCTGCCCCCACCGAATCCATCGGCAATCTGGATTATTCTGCCTCCAGGGTGGGATGCCTTTTGGCCTCCACGCACCGCCCCAGTCCGAGCCCCCGCTGCCACCCCTCTCCGCGCCGGCCTCCCCGCCTCCACCCCAGCCCTGCAGCGAATCCTCTTCGCAGTGGCCAAGGCCAAAGTTTCTGCAGGTCCCATCGGGGCGCTCGCGGGCTCACGGCCTCCGTGGGCTTCGCCTCTCCGCCAGAAAGCGACGCCCAGCTCCCGAGGCTCTCGGCGCGCTGCCTCTCGCGTGACCCCAGCCACGC